ACGTGGTGATTGCATTCCTCAGGGGAGTTGCTTCAGTATATATCACATCCTAATTCTTTTTATGTCTCATCTTCCCCTCTCCTTCCCTTCCCTACCCCTCTATCTCTTGATTGAAGCAGTTTCTAATTCCCTAAAAAACGTCTTTGCGTTTTTCTGTAAGCTTTCTAAGGCTTTATTTTTTCTCTGATGATTTTATTGTGGAAAACTCAGTTAACCACATGACCTATGTTTCCACATGAATGGTACTTAGCAACATAAGCAGAGTGATGTTCAAATGCTCTCTGAATCCTGATTCCTGCCAATCAGAATAGAAGCCGCCATGACATCCACAAGTTTAGAGCCGCGCACTTCACCTGCGTATCAGCTTTGAGTCTTACAGATGTGAACTGTCTCTTCTCCCATCATTGCTCACCACTCGCATTGCTTCATAGGCCCCATTTTCTGAAAGGTTGGAAGTCGTGTATGCTGACATCCTCCTTTACTTCAGTCATGGAAATAAAATACTAACTGCTGCTCTATCCGCTAAAACTTCCAGTGAATCACCGATGTTCTCTACGTAAACCGCTCACTTGGGTAAGAAAATTACCAGACTCAGAACAGAGCTGTGAGATTGGTGACTGCGGAGGTGTGACCTTGCCCAGGGCTGCAGCTTTGGGCACGAGCGGTGCCTGGTGTGTAGGTGGGGGAGCCCGGAAAAGAAGCTGGGCCTTTCATGGGAAAAGCAGCTGCCCTATAGCACGCTCTCATGGAGGGGGCGCAGACACGGGTCACAGTATCCCACCCTCCTCATCCCCTGTTCCCTCGTGGGGGTTTCGGAGTGGCCAGCCTGTCCCCGAAGCCAGGACCCTCGGGGGGCTTCTCTCCATGCAGACAACAAAGCTCAGACCCCTAAAACCAAAGGTCAGATGCAGGTGGAAATCCAGTGAGTCTGGAAAGGAATGAAGCAGAACTGGCTCAGCTTGCTCACCTTTTCTATCTCATCCTCCTAACAGAATTTTAACTTTGACACCAAACAAAACTAAAGGTGATCTTGACCAAAGTTGTACTGCAAAGGCTGCAAAACGCCCAGTCCTCTGGGACTGGAAACAATGAGTGATATCATCTGCCATCGGACTCTGCTATCTGGGTTTTTCTGTTAGGAGAATTCTTATTTGTACTGTTCTTAATATGTAGAGGTTCATAATGTATATCAATTCAGCCTTCAGACTGACAGGAGGAGGTAAGACTCAGATGCTCAAGTTTACTACAGAAGTATTTTCTTCAAGTCAAAAAGAGAAGGTTACTGCACACTCTGAATTGGAAAGACAGAAAATGGTCACACGAGTCATTGGCTATGATGTGAACCACCAAATGCTTTTAGAAACGTTAATAAAATAATATGGGGTCCAAATGAGAACAACCCATTTTCTAAGCTTATTGTCTAATGTCAGTCACTGATGGCATTCTTCCCCTGTAAGGAAATACCTGTGTATTCCAGACACAGCCCACTAGGAAATGAAATCCCAAGATCCAAATAGTGGAGCCAATGGAGCTGGAGCAACCTCTGATACCTCCTTTCAGTACCTAGGGACAGTAAAAGCCAGATATTTCTGGGAAGTCAGGCACAGATGGGCTCAGGCAAAGCTCTTAGCCAGGAAAGAGGACAAAGAAAACACAATTTGAATCTCCAGAACAAAAAGGATGTGCTCTCAAAAGGTCTGTGAGGCACAGGAGGAGCCAGGTCTTTATGGGTTGTTCTGGGTGCATCACAGAATCCATAGAGTAGCAGTGGGGAGGCAGGAAACAGCATGCGAACAATGGCTGGGCCATTGGACACCCTGCCGACTGAAGAGAGTTGTTAGCCCCGGGCATGAGCAGCACCTCCCACACCTGGCACGTGCACAGGCTGCACTGGGCACCAATCTCCAAGAACACACCGCAGCTGGCACCTGACGCCAGTCTTGTAGCATGAGGTCCAGTGGCACACACTGGACCGACTCTCAAAGAAGAAAAAGCAGCAGTGCACTTTGGGCCACTGCTCTCTGGAGCTTGCAGTGGTCCATTCTGCTTGCAGGAAGCATCATCTTTTTCTTTGCAAGCTCCCCTTTCTCCTTGAGCACGTCTTTCATGCTTATTTTCCTTTTCCTCTTCTTCTCTTTGCCATAAGTAAATGTTCATGTTTCACACTCACCACTTGTTCCATCCAATTCACTCAAAGGGACAATGAGAACTGGGAAATTGCTGCCAGTCCCTACCACGCCTGGCAACTATGGGAAACACAGGAACATTCTGCTTTTATGAAACCAGGTAAGTATCCAGAAGTGCAAAAATGCTACAGTAAAGTCAAGTGGATGAGGCATCTCTAGACCTCACGAATGTCCCCAGGTAATGATGCCAGGAAGGCTATGTGGTCAAGCTGAAGCATGGAGAAACTGGAACTGATGATCTGCTATCAAACTATTGATTAACATCTACTATGCTAGCAAACCCATATTATAGGCTTCCTTGGAGGGGTGATCATTATTTTCTTACTGAAGAAACTGCCCATCTATAGAAAAATCCACCAGATAGCTTGAGGATGGAGACACACTCAGAGTTCCACTTGAGGATATCATGTGTGTGATAATGCTTTTACAACTATAATTTCAGAATCTGCAGAGATTCTCTGACCTCTTCCAAGAGAATCTCAGAGGCTCATCACTGGCACAGATGTAGGGTGCTCCTGGAGGAATGTTTTTCATGAAACCCACTTAGGCCACAGATGTTCAACTACTCAAGGATGAGTCCAGGAGGCCAAAATCTGCCCTCATCCTTCCAGTGTACAAAGCCTTCAATCTCCTCTTGCCTTATTGAACTTTGAGAGGTGAGCAGTACAATCAAATCCACTTACTCTCATGACAACTACAGAGAAGTACATGTTGCTATGAAAGAAAAACAGAATTCTGCTACCAACAACCTGCTGTTTGTCAAATATTGCATCCAGAGGGATTGGGTTCTGAAGTTTTTAGTCTTATAAGAGATTATTTCCAAACTTCTTAACAAATTAATTTCTTACATAGAAACTTTGGATAATTCAGTGTATATATTTTGTTTCCAAATCCTTTTTGCAGACACAAGAGGAAAAAGAAGACAGGCTGCAGGCGACATCCCTCTATTAGAAGCCTTAGTAAAACCTTAAATCTTCAGCATCAAATGCAAGGAATAAAAAGTAACAGAAATATTACTGTTACATAGAGCAGAAGTATATTGAGCATACTATATGCTCCATTTACTTGAGTGAAAATTATCATTTTTTAAAGGATAAACTGAACTCTACCCAAATTTTCAAGCCCTGTGCAATAAGACAGACAAGAATGAGTAAAACCATCTTGGCTGGAGAGTTTTAACAGTGAGACAAAAACTTATCCATTAGTATTTATTTTTATTCCATTCCAACTACGATTTTCCTATAGAAGACTGGGACAAACCCTCTTTGAATAGCTGAGGAGAAGTCCTGTGCTTGAAGGTGATTTATTGGATATCTATAATATTATTGGTTCCAATTTTATTATGAATCAAAGACAGCCAAGAAGAAAAATATATCCAGAAAGCTCTGGTTCAATCGCTCTGGAGTGGAACTGTTACTGGTGTTATATTTTGTCTTCCTAATGTAATTGAGGTATGTGATGAAGGATGGTAATCACTGTTCTGATTGAACTGGAATCACTCACTTTATAGGTGCTAAATTACTCCCTCAGTCAGTAGAAACAGTGGACCTATGACCAGAAGATGGGTCACACTAATTATGAGGAGTTCTTACTAATTGTGCACATCGCAGCACTCTCAGTTTCAGAATATTCACTAGGGACATGAAAATAAAATGCCTGTCTCGCCTATCCCATAGAGTAGTTGAGATGATCTAATGTTATCAGTGATAAACAATTTCTTTGTGAAATGCAAGGCATGACATGAATAGTAGGAGCGGTTCTACTCCTGTTTGTGATAGACACAGGCTAGAATAAAAGCTCCTCTACTATTTCAGTTCCTTTACATTTCATTCTTACCTGCATCTGTAGCTGCATCACACAACTGGTTCCCAGACACTGGATAAACGAGCATTAGAGTATTAACCAGCTTCCCCTCACCCCTGGGCCGTCAGTTCACATGCTGATTCTTGCAGTGTCTGTAACTGCCTTATTCAGAGCACGGTCTGGCCAACACCCGGCAGCTTTAGACTCACCAGACAGCTTACTAGAAATGTGAATCTCACATGTTTTATCTCAGATCCACCAAATCCGAGTCTTCAATTTAACAATTTCCCCAGATGGCTCAGACTTGATATTAAAGTTTGAGAAATGATGTTCTACAGAATTTCAAAATGCCTTTGTCACGAGGAAATCAGGTTCCATATCTTTTGAGCAGGTTTTTTTTTTCCATTTTAAGTCTTAAAATCTACCAATTCATGTGATGCTATGTGTGTGTGGATTGTGATTCTATCTGAAACTATCAGATTAAAGAAATGTTCCCTTACTGTGGAGTGAACGATGACATTCATTGCATTACTTTTCCCAAACTCTCTTTAGATTTCTCTTCATAATAATCTATTCTGAGCAGCAATTTTGATTCATTTGAGCTAATTACTGTTAAATTTCGTGCAAGCTTAGGGGATCATCATTCTCATTTCAGGTAAGAGTTTAACGGAAGTGATTAGACTCCATATGACCAAAGTCCCTCACTAACAACAACATGCATTTCCCCCAGTTCTTCAAAGCCACAGTCTCATTTCATGCAGCCTAGGTTGAATCTGAGTAGAGATTTTTTAGGGGCGGCCAATGTGTGCAGGTTGATATTTGGATCAAATCTCCTTAGTTATGGGAGACACATCCTTGGCAATTTTAATTTAATCAGAATATTATAATTTGGAGAATTAAAGGAGCAGAATATACTCTCATTATCCAGACATTTCGAAGAAAGAAGTAAACAGTTTTGTCTTCATTTTATTCTCAGAATTTCTGTGGTCAAATTAATCATTCTGTTTTAAGCCATTCCCTAGGTTCTGCACAAATTAGGAGCACCTGAGTGGAAGCTGAACAAGGTGAAATCTTAACAAAGGGCAGCTCACAGACCCAGCATATGAGTGAGTGGAAATTCTCCCACCACACCTCCTGCACCTCCGCAGACCTCCCTACCTCTAATCGGTAAAAGTTGCTGCCTATTTACACTGGACCCATGCATAGATGTCAATGATAGAGTGCCACGGACTCAAGGTATATTGCTAGAGGCTGAGGATTGATTTGTTTTCACGGGAGGTAATGATTTTTGAAAAGTGTAGCAACAAAACGTGAGCAGGGCAACACAATGTGGCAGGAAAGACGTTTGCTGGAACACCTCAGAAACCTCTGTGAAATGAGCCAGCAGGAGGAAATGCAGGGGTCCCTGGCCTCTGGTGGAGGAAGGAGAATGAGGGTTTGCCTTTGTGCAGCTGTCAACTTCACTTCAGAAAGGGTAAGGAGAGAGGAGAGAGAGGAACTAAGCCCCACCAAGACATATATGCTCATTGGAGAGGAGGAGGTTTTGAATAGATTCTACCACCTCTACTCCAAAGAAGATGACTTGTCACCTGCCAAACATAGGTGTCTAGTTAATATTTCTAGGAGAGTTCCAGTGGCAGTGAATGAATTAAATAGTGCAAAATGTGCAACCTTAGCCCCAGAGATAATGGGATCAGCTATGTATAAGCCCTGCTTTACATTCCTTTAAATAAATCTTTATCATATCACATGTCATTTTCAATTCAACATTACGTGAGCCACTATCTTTGTTTTCACTTCCTCAGTAAATACTTATTAGTACGTAAGCTGATGTTGTCACTTGGTTATGTTCTCAGCATTCCTCTTGTGACTCTTGGTCTCAGTTGTCAACCTGAAGAGTCCAAGAGACTCCTAGAGATCAGTTGCAACAGGGGGCGCTATTCTCCTCTATGTCTCCTCCAAGGGTGCCCTCAGCTGAGTGTGCCACTGGGAGATGGGGTCCAGCGGGAGGAGGTGGGCCAGGTACCTCTTGCTGCTTCGGTTCCCTGTGCTCTGCTGCCAGCCACCATGAAGTGAGCAGCTTTGCTCCCCCATGCCCTGCTGACTCATGTATGTATTTAGCATCTCATATATTTTGAGACCATGAGAGCTGCTACTCTTAGAAAATGAAATTCAATCCTCACTTGGAGTTTTTGAGTCCAGTGGCTCATTCATCCCCTCTCCAGCCAGAATTTTCTGAGACACACAGATTGGATAATCCGTCAGCCCCTTTACAGTGTTGGATACTCATGAACACAGTGTATGCAGAACAACCGAGCATGCAGAGCCTCCAGTGTCCTGATATTCTTCCTGCATGTGTCAGTAGGTCATTTCAGTAGTCAAAACAAATATTAAAATAGTGATATGCAGCTAACAGAGAGCTAAAAAAAGCCTGATCTCGGTACTAGAGACTGAATCCGGGGCCTTCACACTGAGCTACATCCCTAGCACTGCTCTGCCACAATGCCTTCCAGAATAGATGAGGTGGGGCATGACATATCATGGTCAAGGGTATCACAGTGTCATAGATCTTAGTTGTCCAGCGTAGACTAGGGTTGTGTTATTTCATTCTTTCAGGATGCAGGAGATGAAGTTCTGTAAGAATATTTGAGAGTACTGCATGACCCAAGGCAGAATGCCTGTGCTCCAATTCTAAATCTTTGCTTCCAGCTGGCCCAGCAGCTAAAAACTCTCCTGTTGGCCGAGCTTGCCCTGCCTTCCTTCATCCAGGATCCTTTAAAATATTCCCTATATTTCCATCCACCTGGAGCCTTGCTTCTTAGCCCACCCCTTCAGATTTGATGACTGATACAGTTTCTCCAGCAAGAGTCATCGCTCCCCACTTTTGAAGGTCCACACTCAAATCTGGCTTGTGATTCTGTCTGATTTATGTGACTCATAGCAACTATGCAGCTATCTTTTATTTTCCAGTTTTCCAATCGGTTTCTATATGACTATAACAAGAAAATGTGATTTTTTTCTACATTGCTTGTATTGTAGAATTAGTGAATAATTAACAACTGATATAAAATTACTCAATTTTCATCTTTCCTATTACCCTATTAACAGTCTGTACCTCTTCTTTCAGGTTAAAAGGAAAAAGCCACCAAACCTTGACTTCTAACCATGTCTGTAAGTTGATCCATCAAGCGTTGTTGGAAAAATGATCTCTCTCCTTCCCCAGTGATGAGAGGCTCTGCCAAGCCAACTCCGGTACTGGATCTCCTGTGGGAGAAATATCCAGAGCTGTAAGCGGGAAGAAATATCCAGAGCTTCACAGTAGAGGCAGCAGAGGAGTCTCATGGCCCTTGCTGCTGAAGTAAGAACATCTCACCTTGGAAATAAAAGCCCTTCGGGCCCTTTTGTGAGAAAGTGCTCTCCTGTGATTTGTTCTGTGTTCACTTTTGTTAGGGTTTTTATATGCAAAGTAACTAATCCTAATATGCTGATTCTCAATATCATTGGATGCATATATTAGTATAACCACCCTGTCTATTTGGCATTGGTTTTATGAATGTACAAATTACATACTTGGTTGGTGTTGATGTTAATAAACTGTTGTAGTCAGAATCAAGAGAGAGGAACTCAGAGCATTGCTCAGGGTACTCAGTTCTTCTCTCCTGTCTAGGTGTCCAGCTTGACCCAGTCTCCTTATTGGCATGTTTAGGTGACACTGACTGCAGTCATATCTGTTGGCTTGGGTGGTAGTCAAAGTGTCTATGCACACCCACGTTTACAGCAGCATAATTCATAGTAGCTAAATATTGCAAGTAGCTTGATTCCATCAACACATCCAAGAATAAAGAAAATATGATATTTATGCACAATGGAGTTCTTTTTTGCCAAAACGAAGGATACACATTTGTAGGAAAATGGATGCACCTTGAGACAATAATGTTAAGTGAAATAAATCAGACACACAAGCTTCAATATCACATGCTTTCTCTTATACGAGAACCCCAAATTATAAGAAATTATAGAGCAAAATAAAGACAGATCATAGGAAACAGGGACAGAGATCTTTGGCAAAAGGGAAGCGGTCCAAGAGATGGAGGGAGGGAGAAGGAAAGGGAGGGGTTCAGGGGAGTTGAGATGAGCTCTGAATGTGCATGGATTCCTCACAGTGAATGTAATCACTAGGCATTTAGAACATGGCTAATAAAAATAGCAAAAATAAATCTGCAAAAGCGTTGCCTTTTAAGTTACAACAGCTCCTTTCCAGTATAACACCTTAAGGTGAATCAAAGCAAGATTCCCCAAATTTAGACAAAGAAAGGTTAAAGTAGGCATGCATTGGGAAGATATTGTCTGGATTTTCCTTTCTGCACCCTACGAGGTTACTGACAGGTTGCTGGTAAACCGTGTCCCTGGCACAAATATTCTGGGGCACCCTTCCTTCGGACTCAGGCTCCAGGAAGCTGCAGTTTTGCGAAATACCTGGCATGATAGAGAAGCAAAGGGGGCCCAGCTGCACCTCCTCCCGATGACGGGCCAATTCCAAACAGATGCTTTTGGCTTCTTAACTCTTCAGCAGATGCTGTTAAACACCTTAAATATGCTTCAGTTATTTCATCAGAAAGTGAGACCAAAGAAATATAATAGGAAATCCAGAAATAGACCAAAGTACATATGGCATTTTGATATTATAAAGGTGGCATCTCAGATTAAGGGGGAGGAAGGAAGAGAACTTGTTTTTAAGGAAATCATATTAGGACAAACAGATAGTCATTTGGGGAAAAGATAAATTGGGATATATATCTCACACATAATACATACATTCTGTAAATGCAAATGGATCAGAAACCTAAGTGTAATAATAAAGCCATACAAGTAGTAAAAACAAATCAGTGTGAGGCAGTCTGAGATTTTTATCTCAAAAAAGTTATAAGAGAGAGGAATGCAATCTACTATATATTCTTTTAAAATTTTACATGGGTAAATTAATACTGCAGACAAAATGACTACTGTGAATTTATATAGAGAGCTCTTAAAACATTTTAAAGCCCCTTTTGAATAAATAAAATATATAGACATCCCTTAGAAAAGAGCTATCCGTAGTCTTGCAACTTATAGAATGCTTGGAGGATAAGGGTGTTGCCACCTTGGGAAGACAGCTCCAAGGGGAAGCATGTTCAGTGCACACTGGAAACAGAACAGCTGAGGGAAGGAGAGCAAGGAAAAAGTGGCGGATTCGGCTGCATTGAGCGTGCTGGGTTCCATTAGAAGTGTAGCTCTCATTCTACGCCAGGGGCACAGCCACTGGTGTTGACTGGGGTGATGGTTTCTATCTGGAGGCCCCTCAAGAGCCTCATGCTCTCCTCCAAGGCAGGACTTTCTGACAGGTGATGGACCACAGCACCACTGCACCTCATTGTGATGCCAGGAGGGGTGGTCTGGTCAGAGGGCATGGTCACGAGGTGTGAGCTGGTCGAGGGTCTGTCCCTCTGGGACAGCTGACCGTGGTGGCAACTTGAGTAGGAAACCCCCAGCTGCTGGGTTGGCAGCTCTGGGTGTGGGTGATGGACTTACTGAAGAGGGAAGACCACCCTGGGTGTGCACAGCACCAACTAATAGGCTTCTTACCTGGATGGAATAAGAGGGAAAGAAGAAGGTGTCCCTCCTGATTCTGTGGAGAGCTCCAGTCTCCCCCATCGCCACCTTTGAATGTCTATCCCCAGGCTTTTCAGCACCAGCTCCTCAGTCTTCCAGCTCAGACTCTTCAGCCTTGGAGTGCAGACACTTCAGCTTCCTGCTAAAGACTCCAAGGGGACTCTAGTGACCGCCAGTTCTTCTGTCTTTGACTGGATCGTTCCACTTGGCAGCTTGCAGATGGCTCTTCTGCAGCCTTCCACACCTGACTCTACAGGAGGCCACTGGAGCACTACCGTGTGAGTCGTAAACATAGTGTTATATCGAACCTGTTACTCTAGCGACTGACACCCCTTCCCCGCCTCCTCCCTTCTCTCCTTGCTTCCTGGCTCCTGAGACATGGGCAGCTCTCCCTCGCCTATCCCTTCCTCCACACTGCTTCTCCCTGGAGCCGATCTACCATACAAGGACTGAGACCACTGAAATGTGGCCTAAATAAACCCATCCCCTTTAAGTCCTAGGTGTTGGGTATTGATGAGAAAGTGAGCTAGACAAGTGGGGAACCTGTATGACCTGCAGTATAAGAAGACTATTCTGGCTTTCGGCAGGGAAATAGACCCATATGGGGGTCCCATACCTGCCTTTGGCTCTTACTATGATTATCCTCCTTAAGGCCTCACCCCAAAACTGCCAAGACACGTGCATGCACACACACACACACACACACACACACACCTGAAGATTACAGATTTAATTGCGAGAAAGACCTGGGTTCTGAGCTGCATCTGACTCGTACTACCTGTGTAATTGTGAGCACAGTCTCATCTGTCTGAGGATATTGGTGAATTAGATGAGGTGGTGTGCAGAAGCCCTTAGCTTTTGATGCCCACTGGTGGTTTCTTTGCCTTCCTTCTCTTTCCTTTCAGGCTAGTCTTGAAGGCCTTACTCTGTCTGTGCGTGGAGTTGTTTTAGGTACAGTGAGAGAATCAGATGAGACATTCTTTCTTCCTGAGAGATGAGAGGTCCACTTCCTAGAATCTGCACTGCTCTCAGTAATGCTCACTGACACCCTCTAGTACTTTTAACCACCTCAAAATTGCACCCAGTGCTCAAAATATGCCCTGCTTTTGTGTTAACAGAGTTGAACCCAATCTCTCTCCCCTGGTGCAGCGGCACCAAACAAATTCTCTCTTGCTTCTTCATCTCTGTCTTGTATAATTCTCTTTTAGCAATAGACACCACCTAGCAGGTCACCCCCAAGGCCCAAACCTGAGACTAACATCCGGGTTCCAAGGAAAGGAAAAAGTCCACTATCTTCCTCCAATACTAATTGTGAGTGTTGCATTCAGATTGGGTAATGCTATATATGATGAGGACCTACGTGAACATGTGGCATTCAGAACAGAAATGTGTTCAGCAAAGCACCACAGCTTGCTCACTGACCTTCTTATCTATGATACAGTTGGTTAGAATATTTAGCGTGTCAGTGGTGTCATGTGAGGAAAATACATTTCCAAACTTCTGCATGTGACCATAAAACCCCCAATCTCCATGGCTGTCCAGTAAAATCCACATCCTGCATTCCCTGCCCTTCCTTGAAGGATCTGCCCAACATGGCCACCGCAGTGCTGACACCTGAGGGACAATTGGATGCGGGGCTCTTGCTCAGTGTGTGTCTTTGATAGAAACACCAGAGCAAGAGAAGCCACATGCCAGGCACATTCCCAGAGGGAAGCTTGTCTCTGGGGACCTTTTGCATTTCTTTGTTCTCCTCATCAAAGGCAGCAGCACAACACATAGAGCAGGTTTTTCTACAGCTCATTATGGCGTCTTCCCACAGTAGCATCATAGCTGACATTTTCCTTGCTAAATCACTAAAGCTCTGATTAATGCATCACCCTGAGCGAGTTGCTTATGCAACCTCAGGTAAAACGTGAGCCTCTTGATTCTTAGAGTTTCCTTTCTATGCTTTGCATGAAAGAGGCTGGAAGCCTGCAATGAGCCCTGTGCATACACTGGCAATGCTGTGCAGATGGAATAATGATCTCTCCTTGATCAAGAACAGCAGGGGCTTTGATTACATCCACTCTCCCAGGAGAAAAAGTCGATTTAGACATGTTTATCTGCAGCGAAACCTGAAAACAGGCTGCTGATGAGCTCATAGATGAGTGATCACCTTTCTCTAGCACGATGGCCTTGTGAATCAGGGGAATCCGAAATCTGTGCCAACTTCAGAGGGGAGAAGGAAGATAGGAAATTTATGCTTCAACATAAGGGAAAGAATAATAACAGGGAAAATGCACAGAACAGGCTGGTTTTAGAGGGGGTGAAGTTATCACAAAGGGAAATCATACCTGAGAAAACTACTACATTTCCCACTATTTCTGAAACTTCTTGATTCCTTTAATTTAAAATTCCAACATAAATAAATTGAAGGCACAAGGGAACTGCAAGCAGGGTTTGCACAGATTCTACTAGACTTTTGCAAGGCTTTCTGTTAGTAAAACTGCAATGGAATTCAATAGAGATTACCAATATTTTCTTTATACTGTTTGTACCCAGTTATACTCCTAGCTCTGTGATGAGAAGACCTGATGCTGCAATCCCCAGTGCATGATAAAACTGTTTGAACTTTACCAAGCAGGGTGGCAAGTATGAAGACCTATGCATAGTTTTAGCTACACAAGCAAATATACCCTGCTTCCTTTTATGATTGT